TGAAACTGTTTGAGTACAAATAAAATTAAAGTAAGGACGATCGTGATTCTGATAGAAAAAATAATTCATTTTTCGAATAAAGAAGAACATGTCTGAAATATGCATAATGATTCTGATTAGATGAAGCAATGTCCTGGTGAAGCTACATATATTGAGGAATAGTATTTTCGTTCTGGTGTCGAAAATGTTTTATCAATGTATTTTTTCACGTCAGAGATTTCAATTCTCCATATGAAATTATGCATGAAAACATATCTGATTATATTTTGCAATTTTTCTCATATTGAATTTGTAATTTTTCCAGAAGCTTGACAGTCTATATGTTCCTTGTTGATTATACTAATAAACCCTAGCAATTTGGATTTCGAATGAAGGCATTCAATCGTCAATTGTCATGAAAATCAAACGTGTGCTCATAGTGTCCGTGATTTATAACATTCCTTGTAACAATTGTAACTTGAATTATATTGGAACAACATCTATAATTCTTAATGATAGAGTAACTTCACATAAAAGTGATATAAAGCTCAATAAAAAATCATGTGCATTAGCACAACACTCTATAGAAACAGGTCATAAACCAAATTACTCAAATATCAAAGTTTCACATACAGAAAAAATTTTTTCCATCTTTTATCATCAATTATCAAATCATCATACCCATTGAAAAATGACATTTATGTGAAGGTATGACATTTGTCAAACCCACAAAAAAATCGTATACATGTTAACTTTTTCGTCAATTTATATCTTCAATTTATTGTTTTTCACTCATTTTTACTGTAAGTATGATTTGTAATGTTATTCAAAGGCGAAAATATTCAAAAATCATTAGATATTGGCCCTGAAGAAGCTTCCCATTAGAAGCGAAAGCTTGGCAAAGTGAAGCAGAGTTTGATTTTTGATTTTTTGACTGAGAGACCCTGTTAATCCATTTTACCATACATTTCTCCAGTCGCTAAGATTATCCACTTTATATGACATCTCAGGAGAATCCATAGAAAGAAGTACAGCTAGATCACCCTGTACATATCTAGAAGCTCACATACTCTACATGAAAACAAGAAACAAAGAGCGGAAAATTCAAATTTCCATATTTGTGTATGAAAATTTATAATTTTCACAGAATAGACAACCGGCAGAGGATGTGAACTAATGTCAAATGGAAACAATATGACATCTGTTAAATAAAATTGGAAGAGACATCATGAAATTGTTGTGAGTATTTGTAAATAATGGAAAGTTTGAAAATTATTGTTGTAAACCGTTTTCCTAGTTACGGGTATGAAATGATACAAACAAAAATCTATATGTTTAGATATAATTGAGGTTAAATATGTATTCACACAAATATTAAGGAAAGATATATCTAAATTTAGAAATGAATAGCAAATTCGTAGAGGAAATGGTTTTTAAGATATCAAGGTTAGAAATTTGAAGTTACAGAAATTGATGGTTAGTAACTGAGAAAAGTAGATCTTGTTCCCAGAATTTAATTAAAATTATTAGAGAAGTTGGTAGATATTGTATAATTATATTATAAAATAATACTTGGAAGAAGTTTTAAATAATACTAACCTGAATAAGCCAATTCCAATCAAGGAACTTATCAAAAAATTTATTACTTGGAGAATTTTCAGTAGACAAGAGGAGAATCCAGTGGAGACACAATTTTCACTGCACTGAATACACACAGAAGGAAAACTACAACTAGTATTTTGTTGGATGTCAATTTAGTACCCTACTGAAATGAAATAGTTACTTTTGTATACCCTGTAGTAACAAATCAAAATAATTATCATCACTGAATGCAGTCTTGAAATACCTTCAGACCTATTTTTCTATTAAAAGAATCACCAACTACGTCATGTTGTCGAATAGTAGAAACTTGAACATCTTATTTCGGTGGCAACAAAGAATTATTCCAATCAGTGGGTTGACAAAAGTGGTCTTCAAGAATGGCCCATTCGAACACCCGATATGATGTCCTCAGATTTTTTATGGTTGTTCGCAAAATTGGAGTACACGTTCATAACCTCAGTATATCCCAGAATTCAAGGAAAAAATAAGAGGTGCTTACAAAAGAATTATCCCAGAAACATTATTGTATGAGTTGAATTTATGATAATATTTATCATTCATTATGAAACTGTTGATTACTTAGGAACAGCTCTTCCGATTTCATAAAATAAACCAGTTCTGGAAAATGAATCGAAAGACCCACCACAAGAGGTATATTATCACACACATATTATTCTTCAGAAATGTTAAGTTCCCTCTATTGCTTGAAAATTGGAATGTTTCGGTGAGAAAGAAGTGTATTCTATGAATGATGCAGTATTACTGTCATCAACAGTTCATTTTGACATCATGGTGAATGAAACGAATGAACAATCAGTAGCTCAAGGTCTTTGTGACATCCATTACACAAAAAATTAACTCTCACTATTTTCTAAAGAAATTTCTTCATCGAGTCTGTTCTGTTCACGTCAGGATGACGGAAAGAAAATGAATCCAGGCTAGTACTTGTCCACATCGTAGAAAGATCAATGTTTGCGTGCGACGGGAATAAGTAGCATTCCTATCGGACTGCTACGAACCCGACAAAAAATACAGGAATATACTCTCAAAGGGTCCTTTCCGGAATTAGGAACTATACATCATTTGTGCTCAGTGATTTTTTCCATCATTAGTCTCCAGGAAAAACTGCGGAAGGAAATGGGAGTTGGAAATTAATTAAACGAAAATTGTTTGGGGAGGTAAAAACAGTAGAGATTAACTGATTTTTTGCAGTTTAGGAGATAGTTCATTTGGAGCGAGTATGCTTTTCCTGAACTACTTCTTCATTCTGTTAGTTATTTCATGTAGAAAAGGTTCAATATAAAATCGTCAACAAATCGTGAATTTTCAGAAAAAAATTACTCAAATTTCCTACATGAAACATGAATTCATTCCATGTTCCTAATTAAGGTTAGATTAGGTCTGAAGTGAGTAAGTCCTTTCGACCCTCCACCGCAACACGCAAGGGTTTATTGTGGCGTACACCTATTCACACTCGGCCAAATAAATCAAGCTTCTTAACGAAGCCGATTAGCCGAACTCTAACAACCAGATTTGGTTCCCAGCGGGACAGGCACAAAGTATATGCTCTGATGTTTCTCATTTTCCAAACACAGGCGACACACACTGTCTTCCAATAGTCCAAGTCTCTGCATATGATGATTCAAATGACAATGGCCTGTAAGAAGGCCTGTTAAACTGCGTAGTTCAGCCCTACTGTAGTTCAACACTGTTGAATATCAAACTGTTTGATATCAAGCTTCTAAGGGTGAATAAACGCCTTAGAGTGAGCCAATCCTGGAAGATTCTGTCAGAAGTCCATAAATCTTTATAAATCCAGGTGTTCAATGTTTGTTTGGCAAAGTCTAGAGCGATGCCAATGACAGTTTCTGGTCCGATGAAGCTGCTTGCAGCACCCTCCTTTGCAAGGGAATCAGCAGCTTCATTACAGCAAGTCATTTCTAGAATGCTATGACTTCCAGTGTCAACCAACAGTCTGTTGCACTCTGCATTTAATTGATTTGTGCAATTGGCAATGTGCACAAGTCTTTATGCAGTCCATCTAGCCTCTCTCTCCAGAAAAATGTGGAGATGAGGTTGGTATAGAGGGATCTCCATGGCCGCTGATGGTGTGGTACTGATGGTACCAGTGATAGCCAAACAAGCCTGTCTAAGCCAGAGAGCTTCGCTTGGGCCGTTTTCTGTAAAGCCTTGGGCCACCAAGCAACTGCACCATAAGTGATCATTGATCTGGCAATCATCACATTAATCCAGTGGATTTATTTGTCTTTGTGTAAAAATGTTTCCAAGTGAGCGTTCCAGGTGAGCGTTCCAAGAACAATGCCAAGATATTTCACATCCGTTCCAAATGGAATGACCTCACCATTGAGGTCATTCTATTTGGAATTTACAGATCAACTTCTCTTCCTTCAAGACCATCAAGCAGAGTATCCATCAGGAGCGACCACAGAGGGGGAGATAAAACCCCAACTTGAGGGCAGCCCCTGGTGACCCTGAACCTGATGGCCTCACCTTGAAGAGTCTTAGTTGCAGTTCTGTTTGCTAGCATGGCAAAGATCCAGCCAGTTATGGTCGATTCAATACCCTTCCTAGCCAGAGACAATCCTATAGATTTAGGTAGTGCATCATCAAATGGTCCTTCAATATCAAGAAATGCAGCAACTGTAATCTCCTTGTTGTCAAGGAATTGGGAGATCACGATCTCAACGAGGTTGTTTAATGCTAAATATGTCGATTTTACGGTTTGATAAGCACACTGGTGGTTATTCAGGGGGATGCATATAATGCTACCCTCCTGATGAGTCCGTCCAGTATCATCTCAAGTTGTTTCACCAGGAAGGATGAAAGGCTGATTGGTCTTATCAATTGAGGTATACCCACTTTAGGTATATTTACCACCCTTGCTGCCAACCAACTGGGTGATATGCAGAACCACGCCAGACTATCTCTATACATTTCTGTGAGAATAGGTAAAATTATTTCAAGTCCGTTTTGAAGGAGAGTTGAAAATATACCATCCTCTCCGGGAGATTTGAAGAGCTGAAAAGACTTGATATCCCATTCAACTGTCGATGCTGTGATAACCTTCTTTGCGATGTCCCAATCGTTCTTTTTTGGGTGTTCAGCGCCCTTAAAGATGATAGGTCTGTTGTTATCAAGCGTCAGATTTCCAGGAAAGTGGTTTTCTATCAAAAGCTCTAACGTTTCTTTACTAGAGGTCGTAAATGTTCCATAGATTCTTTTAAGGGACCCACTTTCAGAAGTCGGCTCTCTAGAGAAAATCTTGTGAATAAATAATTGGTAGGTACTGTTCACATATTTTTATGATAATTGTCATAATTGAGGACAAAGAAATCATAAATTCTGTTCAAATTGCTTTGGAAGATTTGGAAAAACTAACAAAATAAAAAGCCATAAAGTTTAAGAAAAATTTTATTGAGATTTTTCAAAGTCGCGAATTGAAACAATAATTCATGAACCCCCGGTAATCAAGTCGTTAATTAACTCCATTCAATCAATTTGCTTGATTCGATATGTACAGATTATAGTAGCACAGAAAAAGACCATTCGATTGTAGTTAGTATTTTACAGTATATACAGTTACCAATTCACCATTACAGGATAAAATTATGTAAGTCATCACATCAAAGGAAAGTCCAATTTACAGATATTTACAGTTTTTTTACAGCTCACATCTCCAGTCGAAATTTTCATCTGTCTAACATCATCATTATATTCAAGAATAGCGTCAGGAGAGTACTCATGAAGAGGGCTGTGGAAACATCGCTGCTGTTGGCGTGTAACATGGCTGCCGGGTTTTCCTCTGGAAAGAAAACATATTTCAGAATAAACGCAGACTTCTTGACAGTGAACAGGGAGAGGTGGAAATGAACATACTTTCTTGTGATTTATATGAATATTTTCCTGAAAGTATGGTGTTGAAGGTCAATAATCCAGATAAAATTGGAAAAACGGTAGCATGAAAACATTCACAATTTTCTATACGGTGTATAACAGCGAAAAAAATATTTATCATGGTGCAAAATGAAGGCTTATTGAAAATTCGCTGAGACATGATCTCATTTTCTGTTTCAAATGAAACATTGTTTATGTTCTATCCCTACCTCCAATTTTTCTGAAAAATTTGATGTTTTCAGATTCATTATGAAAATGTCTACGTCACACTTAATACTTTCCCATTCAAGTATTGATAATGGAAAGGTGAGTGAAAAATGTTTCGGCGTTTCATCTCACAGTCTTTCGAATTTTGTTAGTCGCTCATCAGAAAAAAGAGTCATTTAACAAAAAAACTGATATAAAACATTTACATTTCATGAGAACTCTTCAATTTTGCCATGCGTGTCTTTGTGTCATGTTGGGCCATCGGAAACATGTCCCTATGTCATGCCGTGCTATCAGGATCGTGTTTTTGTACCAAGTTGGGCCTTGTGCCTAATTGAGCCGACGGAAACATATCATTGTGCTACGCTGCATCGTTAGAAACGTGTCCTTGTTGCTATGTTGGGCCGTCGGGAACGTTTCCCTATGCCGTATTAGTCCGCCGGAAAGGTGTTCTTGTAACATAATGGGCCATTGGAAATGTATCCCTATGTCGTATTGGGCCGTCGAGAACATATCCGTGTATCATGTTAGGCCCTTAGGAACGTGTCCCTGTCCCATATTGGGCCCTGCCTCTGTGCCATATTGGACGTCGGTAATATGTCCCTGTGTCATGCCGGGCTATCAGGATTGTGTTGTGCCATGTTGGGCCCTGTGCCGTATTGAGCCGATGGAAACGTGTCCTGGTGCCATGCTGCGTCGTTGGGAACGTGTCCCTATGCCGCATTAGGTCGACAGAACGTGTTCCTATGTCATATTGGGAGTCGCGAACATGTCCCTGTATCATGTTGGGCCCTCGGGAACGTGTCCCTGTCCCATATCGGGAAATAAGGAACGTGTCTCTGTGCCATATTGGGTAGTCGGGAACATGTCATGCTGGGCCATTGACAACGTCAATGTCCTTGTGAAATGCTGGGCCATTGGAAACATGTCCCTGTGCCATGTTGGGCTACGAAACGTGTCCCAGTGCCATGTTGGGCAATCGGAAGCTTATCCCTATGCTATGCTGGGCCGTCGAGAACGTGTCCCTGTGCCGTGATGGGCCGTCGGGAACGTTACCCTTTGCCATTATGGTCCATCGAGATGTCCATGTGGTATGTTGGGCCGTCGAGAGGGTGTCCGTGTGCCATGCTGGGCAGTCGAGAACGTGTCCCTGTGTCATACTGTGCCGTCGGAAACGTGTTCCTTTGCCGTGGAGGTTCGTCGAGAACGTGTCCTTTTGTCGTTGTGAGCCGTCGAAAACATGTTAGTATGCCATGTGGGGGCCATCGAAAACGTCTCCATGTGACATGAGATGGTGAAAGGTCTTCTAGTCCCGAAGCTTTAGTACTTGCTAGAAGGAACGGAATCCCTGGTATCATGGAAACCCTGTGAACTGGCATCATAACCGATGTCGTCGATGGAGGCAAATGATAGCTGTGCAGAGAAATTCAATGACACACTTGAATGACACATTGCTTTCATTGATAGATTGAGTATCCTCGTAAGGTATTTGTGGTAGCGATAGTGATGAATGATTAATCATTCATTAAAATATGTTTTTCGGTAGACTATGGTTGGTTGAATTTAGTGCGTTAGTCAATTGTTGTTTGGAATATTATCATGATATAAGGGTGTCACAGTGAAAGTTCAGTGTATTATTTTAACTGGGAGTTCACAGAAGGAAACGATGTAGCAATGATTTTCACTATAAAAATGATCATTACAGAAATGACTCAGAGAAGAATTGTGAGATTTGTAGATGAATTGAGAAAAAATCAATTAAGTAAGGGAAAATAATCTGATATGGTGAAATCAAACATTTTTAACAATTTTTTCAACCGGATTGAAATGACCAACGAGCGATTTGAATCACACATGCTTTCTCACAAATTTTTGAATGGAAAATCAATTGTAAATTCAACTTTCTCCACCTCTATAGGAGATAATCGTCGAATTCAACTGATAAAAACCCTAAAAAACTTCAAAGTGAAATTTTCACAG